GTGTAAAAATAGCATAGAGATGAGGATAAAATAAAGCTAGGAGGGGGTAGCTAAATGTTATTGAGATCAGGTGGGGGCTGGGGTTGTGGCTCAGCAATACAGCCAGTGCTAGCCTAGCACGTGCTAATTACAGATACTAATTACAAAGTTTCTTTTGTACCTACAAAATGAATTCTTGTGCATTGCAAAAGTTCTGAAAATGTAGACGTCTGTAAAGAAAATCTAAATGCTCCCCCAGGAGTGCTGTTTACGTTTTTATATAAAACTTTTCATCTTCTTTTCCATGCAAATGTGTAGGGTTCTAAGTTAATTCTAAGCTTTTCCAATGACTTTTGTGCTAACTTAATAAATGGCAGGTAGCTGTCTATGAATATAATATAGGTGTAACTCATGGTTTTTAACAACTTGATAATATTGCATAGTGCAGTAAGTATACCATAATTTATAAAGTCAAACTACCTTTGCATGCATTGATTTTCTATAGGACCACTCTTTAAACTTTTCTGCATTGGGCAATGTTTGAAACATGTATCACTTTTGTATTAAAAAAAAATGTGAAGCCTTTTTTTTTCTTTAAATTGGGATTGCTCTGCCAGTTCAGACGCTGGCTAATCATAGAAGCGATGTTAAAATGTATAATCTAATGAACTGGGTGACTGGTTGAGGGGTTAATGGGTTAACAATGCTTCACATCTTCTGGCTCATGTGAATAATAGGGATATGAGTTAGTTGTTCAAGATGAAGGTTTGGCCTAGGATGGCTGAAGTCAGGAAGGTGAGTGTGATGGTCCAGGAAGAACAGGGCAGTGGGTTCCCATCCAGGAAGTCCTACCTGGATTTCAGGAAGCCTGTGTAACTCATGGAGGGTTGAGGCTAATATCTCACATACTATACAGATACTCGTGTTGTTAATGTCTATCTGCCCCAGTTAGATAGTAGGCTATAGAGGTCAGGGTGTGTGTGTGTGTGTAGGTGTCCATGCACCCATGTTTTCCTTATTGCTGAATCCTCACTGCCTAGAACAGAGCATGGCACATAGTAGACATTCAATAAATGTGTTAAATAAATGAATGAATAAAGCCAGGAGCAGGGGTACATACCACTTAAAAGGGGTAAAGGACAGAATGGAGTGGAGAAGAGGAAAATCTGAGAAGCAGGAGGTACACCTGGTAAGGGGGTAGGCTTGGTGGGGGGAGTTTGCCCTCAAGTTGAAGGGAGTTGTCATTAGAGGACATGTAAGCAAAAAGGACCCAACTTGGCTGGTTTCCCTCTTGTACAGATGAACAAATAAGAGTTGCTGTTCCAGAGACTGAGTATGCTTCTGAAAGTGTGGGCATGAATGTCTCAGTCAAGATAGTGGTTGGTGATATAAAGGCACCTCAAAGGATAGTGACTTGACTTTATCACCTCTAGGGAACAACTATTTGGCTGACTGCCAGAGTCATTTAATTTATATATGCAATATATAATGTAAGGATGTGTGCAGAGAAATATAAATAGGCGCTACGGATCTATGCCATTTATGTGTAGTGTGTGTGCATTTGTATATGTGTGTGTTTATGCAGCGTCCTTCTTCCAGAATGTCCGCTGCAGCATGGACTTGGTCTGCTTTTCCCCAGCTGCGTCTCCAGGGCCTGGCACAGCGCCTGGCACGTGGCCAGGTGCTGGTACAGGTCCAGCGCCGAGTCCTGCGGTCCCGTCCCGGGTCCCCAGCACGGTCCGCAGATGCGATGCCACCGCGTGGGGCGCCAGGGCCACGTTACCTGCTGCAACTGGTCCACGAACTGCTCGTGGCGCGCATTATCGCTGCCGCGGGCCTTGATGAAGCTGGCGCTCGCTTCCTCGCCGATCACCTCGGCAGAGTACAAGTTGCGGAAGACGCCGGTGAGCAAGTGCGAGATGTCCTGGGTGCGCAGCGAGGAGGGGCGCAGACGCAGCAGCTGCGGCTCGGGTGGCGGCGGGAGCGCCCGCGACCACCCGCGACTGGGCCGGGTCGCGAAGCCGAACTGGAAGCTCTCCACGTAGGCACGGGAGGACGACAAGGGGGACTTTGGGGGGCTTCTGGACATGGCCAGTCGTGAGTCTGGCGCCCATGTTTGCCTCTCGTACTCGAAGGTCCCAGACTCTAAGGAGCTCAGCTCCGCCGTCGGCCCCTTGGTCTCCATGGCAACTGAGACGCTAACTCCTTGCCCCACTTCTACTTCCGGCCCCGCCTCTTCCGCCTTGCTTCCGCCTTGGCGAGCGTCTTCGGCTGCATCCTCGCAAATCCTTGCATCTTCAGCACCGTCCCTCCTAACGCTGAATTTCCTGTGAGGAAAGGGTTGATTGACAGAACCAGCCTAATCTGGTTGCAAAATCTTACTCCTGACTACCTGCTTTCATCCATCCATTCTTTAATTTGCTCAGCAATTGTTCACAATCTACTTATGGTTGATTGTGTCAAACTTCTGTTTCAGGTCCAGGCTGAGAACTGAACATACCAAAGGAAGTTAGAACACACCAAAGGAACATACCAAAGGAAGTTGCATCTGCCCCTGGGGATCGCACCGTCGTGTGTGTGTGTGTGTGTGTGTGTGTGTGTGTGTGTGAGAGAGAGAGAGAGAGAGAGAGAGAGAGAGAGAGAGAGAGAGAGAGAGATATGAAGGTGGTGAGTGGAGAGAGAACAGTATAACAACTGCAGGTTAGTGACTTCAGGGCACCTTGGAGGCGTGTGATGTTTGTCTAGAACCATAGTCTGTAGGGTGAGCCGTGGCTTCTTGGAAGAAGTGAAGACCAGGCAGAGATTTAAAAGGGAGAGTAGACTCATCATCATTAGTCAACAGGGGAGTGGAGATTAAAACCATAATGTGTTATCACTGCGAACTTAGTAGAATGGCAAAAAAAAAAAAAAAAGAAAGAAAGAAAGACATTCTTGAATAAAGAGACTAAACAAGTGCTAGTGAATATGTGGAGCAACCAGAATTCTCCTATACTGTGAATGAGGATACAAACTGGTTCAGCAACTCTGGAGAACAGTTTGGTAGTTTCCTACACAGTTACACATACAGCAGTCACACTGGAGGTATTTTCTCCAAGTGAAATGAAAACTATGTGCACACAAAAGCTTGAACATAAAAGTTCATGGCAGTTTTATTCATCACCACTCAAACGGGGGAAAAAAAAAACAACCCTCCAATGCTTTGTAGACTGAAGAATGGATAAACTGTAGTATGTATATACCAAGGAATAGGGCTCAACAATAGAAAGGAAGCAGGCTATTAATATACCCAACAGCATAGATGAATCTATGTTGGGTATATCTAGGCTACCTACGGAATGGTTCCAGAAAATACATAACAAAAAATAGACCATTGGTTATCAGGAGCTGCAGAATGGGGACTAGGGTTGACTTCAGAGGGAATTTCTTGGAGTGGTGGAATTGTCCTGTAACTTGATTGTGGTTATGCAACTGTATGGATTATCAAACCTCACACTTTACACTGTAAAGGATGGATTTTACTGTATGTAAATTATACCTCAGTTTTTTTAATTAAAAAAAAGAATGCGTAGGAAAAGCCAATGGAGAAGGAAAAAAAAGGGGTGGGTATGCCATGTCCAGTGGTCTAGGTGTGCAAAAGCTAGGAGAGAGCACAGGCTGGGAGAGAAAGCTACTACAAGTGGGAGGAAATGCAAGAAATGTAGATGTGGAATCAAGAGTTTGAGAGTGAAGGATGAGACTGATAGGAAAGGGCTAGGTCATAAATGGGTTTGAACACCACAATAGGAAATTGGAACTTTATACTGAGGACAGTGGGAAAGCCATCAAGGGTTTTAAGCCGGAGCATGTCATAGTCAGCTCTTGTTTTATGAAGGTCACTCTGATTGATGTGAGAATAGATAGCAGGAGGCAACAGGGAGGTCAATTAGGAAACTATTGCAGAAGTTAGAAAAGAGATAAAGGAGCTTAGATGAGGGTGAGGGGAAGGGATTGGAGATAGATCTAAACAGTAGAATTGACAGAACTTACAGGTGGATGATGGGATGTGAGAAAAAGGAACAAAGAATCTCTCCCAAATGTCTTCTGTGTGTAGTTGGATGGGTGATTCTGCCATCCACTGACATGGGGAAGAGGACTGTCCTTGTTCAGGGTGACAGCTTGAGACCACATTGTCCATTGTCATTGGCACAGCTTGGCTCTGCTCACAAGTGGTATAATAAACACTTTTTACTCGGGTGAGAGTACTTGCCTTACAACCCAAAACCCACTTCCTGAGATGAGTCCCAAGATGTTGCCATCAGACCTGGGCCACTTCCGCCTCTCTTGGTTGAGCTTGGCTACCTCATCTGTACTTTTCTGTCCCGAGAGCTGGGAAGCCAGGGCCCCTGCTCTGGATCTCCTCCAACTGTACCCTTCCCCACAAAGTAAGGATGTGCCCTGCACCTGTCCTCCAGGGAGGACAAAATTATCCTGAGTCCATTTCCAGAGCCAGAGCAGGCTTCTTCTTTAACTCCCTCCTCCTGGGACTGACTGATATGTGCAATAAGGGATAGCTTAATGGGGGACAGAACTAGGGCAACATGCCATTGGTCCAGCTTTCCACATGCATGTGAGGTCCTGGATGGTGCAGGAAGGAGCTATATTTGGGGAGGGAAGTGGGAGAGTCTGGGGAGCCTGCCTTGCCTCTAATTTGCCTCCCACAAAAAAATGGTCCTATCCATTAGGATTAGTTCCACATGTTGAGGCTCCTTGGCCCCCTTTTCTGTCCAGAACAGTTCCATGGATTCTTACCATTACTTCTGACTTCTCCATCATGCCTCCAGATGGCCTCTGGGAAAGTCCCAGGGAGTCTGGCCCAGCCTGGAAGAGGTGCCTCCCAGCAACTCTCGCCTCTGCATGACCCCAGCACAGGCACACCCCCTGGCCTCAGCTCCTCTGATCAGCTGACACTGTCTAACCGGGTCACCCTCGGTACAGCCACTCCATCAGTCCTCACCTGATGCCACTACCATTCCTTCTGACTGACACATTCAACTCTCTTGCTTTCCCCTGTCTGTGCATCACTGTCTCCATCCTCCTGTCCCTCTTCTGCCAGTATCTCCCTGCTTGATAAGCTCAGTGCATTCCTGATTCTGCTGCTCCCAGTATTCAGCTAACTGAATAAATGAGTGGCTCTTACCTGCACCAGTATCAAAGGGCTCAGGTCACCTTTGGGACCACTCACTAGCTCCCATCTGATGGGGACTTCCTCAGTGCAAAGGAAATTCCTTGTGAGTGGCCCTCTTCATTTTATCATTTTATAAACTGCTCTGTGGACTGCAGCTTCTGCTTGTTTATCTCTGAGTTTCACACACACTTTTGATCTTTCAACTTTTTTTTCACTTTTAAAATTTCAAAAGTTCTACATTATCCTGGTAAAAACAAAAGTAAAGAAAACCTCCAACAATACACAAAAAATAAAAAAATAAGTGTCCTCAGTCCTTTCCTCCAGTTTATCAGATTATTTCCATATCTTTTCAGCTATTTTTTTTTGGTACAAACATTGATTTCTATATAGTCATTTTTAATATTTAAAAAACAAATGATACTGTCATATATATTCTGCTGTTTGCTTTTTCACTTATTTTCTGTAACAACTCACAAAGGACATCTTTTTTTTTTACTATAAATAATGCTGTAATGAGCCACCTTTTCATATGTGTGCATACTTTGCATGGCTTTCTAGTGTTTTTGCGGGACAATATCATAAAATTTCTTGGCCAAAGGGTATGCACATTTTAGTATTTGGGATATTGCCATATTGCCGTCCAGAAAGATTATACTAAAGTAGACTCCACCAGCACTATGTGAGAGCTTCTAAGCCTTTTAAACATGTTTTGACTCATATCCTAAATTTTATCCCTAGCCCACATTTCCCTTCTAAATTTGTACATCCATCTTATACCTGACATTTCCCCCTGGTTGTCTGAAGACATCTCGGTATCCAAAATAAAGTGCCTATTCCTCTTCAACTTTCCCTATTTCCAGGTATGGCAGCTCTGTCCTTTTAGTTGTCCTTGGAGCCATCCTTGATTCCCCTCTTTCCCTCACAACCCCACCAATAAATCCTGTTGGCTCTACCTTCAAAAATGTTTCCAGAATCCTACCATTTTATGCAACCTCCAGTCCTACGGCCAGGCCTGAGCTACCATACCCTCCCACCTGCATTACAGCCAGAGTCCCTGCCCTGGGCCCCACTTCAGCCTCTGACCCTCCTCTGTGACTTCTTCCAGCAGCCAGAGGGATTCCCTTAAAACATGAATCAGATCATGTCCCTCCTCTGTTTGAAACCTTCCAAGTGCCCTCCATTTCTCCCAGAGTAAAAGCAGAAGCCCTTACAAGCCCCAACAGGACCAGGTCACTGTTAGCCTCTCTGTCTTCTCCAAGTATGGCACCCCCTCACTCTCTTAGCTCCTACCACACAGCCCCCTTGAAATCCTCCAATTTATCAGAACTGCTCCTACCTCAGGGCCTTGGTACTGCCCATTCCCTGTGCCTGGAATCCTCTCCCCCAAATATACTTAAACAACTTACTAAACAACTTACTCTCTCACTTCCTTTGAGTATGCTCAAATGTCACCTTCAACAGCCAACTGATTTAAAATTTAACTCCGCCCCAGGGACTCCTTTACCCTACTTTTTTTTTTTTTTTGCATTACTAGAGATCAAACCCCAAACCTCATGCTTGTTAGGCAAACACTGTACCACAGAGCTACATCCCCTACCCTACTTGTTTTCATTTCCTTTCATCTTCTAAAACAATACACAATTCTCCTCGTATGTTTTTGATTATTGCAGCATCTCTTCTCTTTCCATTAGAATTTAAGCTCCATGATCACAGGGGATTTTGGTGAGTTTTGTATATGGGTGATTCTCAGGACTCTTGAACAGTGCCTTGTGTACAGTATGTGCTCAATAAATATTTATTGAATAAGCAAAATAGCAGAATAAAGGTTTTGGTGTCTTCAGTTCACACAGGCCTAAGTGTGCCTCCTCCCTCAGATAAGGGTCAGAGGGCAAGTCTCCTGACGGCTGTCCTCACCAAGCACTGCACTTGCCTGTGGGGTGCCATGGGATAAGATGACCCTTGGGACTTAGTCCACAGTGAAATGAATACACAGTAAAATCCCATAAATACAATTGTGGAAAAATAACTCCAAATAATGCCATACTATCCAGGGTTACAAAG